CTTTGTACTACATTAACAAAGGCACGAGGGGTTGGTTGCACTCGATTGGGAAACCGATTCGCATAAATCCGTGATGCATCCGGGAGCATTTTGTAAAGACTGCCCCCCCGTAAATAAGAATCATGTCCACAAGTTCAGCATTTTCGTAAACATGTGCCATTTTTGATTTCGTTTGAGCCACGCAACAAACACTACTATCCACTAACGCGTTATCGACTGACGAAAAACATCGTGATAAACGTTTCAAATTCTTTCGCTTTTTTGTTTCCGATGCGATGAACCGGTCAGGCGGATTATATCCGTTGTCGCCAAACACGAACATACATATAATATTATTATTGAGACAGGGCGATACTCAAACTTCCAAAAGGCTATAACTTTGTTACTTTAATTTTACCAGAAAAATGGTAAAGGAAAAAAACATTTCTTTTGATCCGATCTACTCACTGTTAAAATAAATGACTGTATATACAGGGTGACTTCGAAGTTGAGTCATTAATTTTCAGATAATGATTGTAGAAGGAAGATAAACCAAAATATGTGTGTAAAAATAAAAAAAAAAAATAAAAAAAATGTTACCTTGTTTAATAAAGTATCCTCCCGAAAAGTATTTCAGTGCGGACCTGTATTTGATCGTGCGGTCTTGGAGCAGCATGCCCTCACCTGTGAGGTCTTAAGTCACCTGATTCACGAGCCCTTTGCACTACATTAACAAAGGCACGAGGGGTTGGTTGCACTCGATTGGGAAACCGATTCGCATAAATCCGTGATGCATCCGGGAGCATTTTGTAAAGACTGCCCCCCCCGTAAATAAGAATCATGTCCACAAGTTCAGCATTTTCGTAAACATGTGCCATTTTTGATTTCGTTTGAGCCACGCAACACACTACTATTCACTTACGCGTTATCGACTGACGAAAAACATCGTGATAAACGTTTCAAATTCTTTCGCTTTTTTGTTTCCGATGCGATGAACCGGTCAAGCGGATTATATCCGTTGTCGCCAAACACGAGCATATAATAGGCAGGGCGGTACTCAAACTTCCAAAGGGCTATAACTTTGTTACTTTAATTTTACCAGAAAAATGGTAAAGGAAAAAACATTTCTTTTGATCAGATCTACTCACTGTTAAAATAAATGACTCAACTGTATACAGGGTAGCCCATCCATGTGTGGACGGAATATTACTCATAAACAAATACATTTTGGGAAAATCTATTTATGGCATGTTGTACATGACATTTGAGGGCACATTTATAAAATATTGGCAATTATACAGGGTGTCCCAATTTTGACCGACATCTCAAAGTTGTGATTTTTTAAATGGAACGCCTCTAATTTTATATTATATTATTTTTCGACAACAGATTAACAGGTATAGAATACTTGAATTTTTTGATCGAGCATTTGCCTTTGTTTTTGGAGGATGTCAACCTGCAAACTCGGATGCATATGTACTTAAAACACGACGGTGCACCTTCGCATTATCATAATCGTGTGCGTAACTATTTGGACACCTGGAGTACCAATCGTTAGATCAGTCGTGATGGGCCTATATCTTGGCCTCCTAGATCACCAGATATGGACTTCTTTCTATGGGGCTACGTTAAGCAAGAGGTTTATAGACATCCATCATCTACCCCGGAAAATATGAAGGAAATGATTAAGGATGCTTTTCTGAACATAAGGGAAAACATGCTGAGGGATGTGCAACGGTCATTTATCCAAAGACTACAGCTGTGTATTCAACATGGTGTAGATATTTTCGAGCAGTTTTTGTAGATTATTTCTTGAGTAGTGATAGTTGTTTGTTTATGTTGTTGTTATAGTTGTTTTCCTCTATTACGCTTGAAGCTGATTTATACTGTTCTGTTCTTGTTTAATAACTCATAATCTAGAGATCTTATCTGAATCAAACCTTATACAAAAAAGCTTATAAAAATTGAATCCAAGCTTGCACAAATATACATGGTGATAAATTTGAAATTTTTGATAAAAAGTACAATTTGCGGTTTTGACCACTCTGTATGAGCGAAAAAGAGAATTCGAAAAAGTAACAAATAAGATAAAAGCGGAGGTATGTATGTTTTTTTTATGCAAAATTCAGCACTCCAAATTTCAAAATGGCGGATTGAGTGGTTGCCGAAGTGGACGGTTTTTCTGGACAAAACACCTTACATCTCAGTATTTAATTACCAAAACCCCATAGTATGTTATATCAATCTTCTTCTTTTGAATTGTTTTATCCAAATATGCAGTAAAATTTGAGGCATTCCATTTAAAAAATCACAACTTGGATATGTAGGTCAAAATTGGGACACCCTGTATAATTGAAAATATTTTAGAAATGTGCCCTCAAATGTCATGTATAACGTCCCAAAATGTATCTGTTTATGAGTAATATTCCGTCCACACATCGATGGGCCACCCTATATATACGGGTATACGAGTATATAGTGCTTTTCTTTCATGTCCTCCTCCCCTTTGATTTTTTTAACAGATCAATTCAAAAAATTAAAACTTGAGGCCGCTGGGCGCCATCTTGGAAAAAATTATATGAAAACGAGGGTCTTGTGGCACATCATTTTGAAGCTCCTGACTATTACTTTATAACCCTAGAATATAAAGTCAATACCTTTACCTACTACAAAATGGTGGTGCATTTGATAATTACTTGAACGCAAACCCACTATCATGCATATACATATCTACAAATAATTGTAATTCCTTGCCGTATCCACAGCAACAGCGATAAAAACTTGTTTTGTTATTTTTTGTTGACAGTGACAAGAATATCAGTACGGAAACAAACATCATTGTGCAGTTAAAATAATCTTATTTAGTTTTCTGTTTTAGTGCTAGATACTGTTTGAACTATTTTTAAAATGATCAATTCTCGTGGAAGCGATTTTTATTTATGGTCCGACGCGTAACTTTCAGAGACCGAAAGGATTTTTAATGATCGTTTCCCGAATCGTCCTATCTGTAGAAAATATTTTAGAGAGCTTGTCCAGAAGAAAAGCAAGTTCAAATATTGGTGAGATCATAGTAAATCCCCAACAGTCTACTTCTTCCATCGCGAATGTCTGTGAGGTTTGTCCTTCTACTGTATGGAAACGTTTGAAAAAGAATAAGTATCACTCATACAAAATTCAAATGGTACATTAGCTAACTGAAGATGACCCTGATCGAAGAACAGAATTCTGCGAGACTATGACGGAAACCATTGCACGGCATCCTACCTATATCCAAAATATTTGTTTTAGTGATGAATGTACATTTTTTCTCAACGGTAATGTGCATAGACAAAATTGTCGTTATTGCAGTGATACCAGTCCTCACGTCCTCACACATTAATGTTTTCTGAGAAAAGTACGAATTTTATGTGAAATGTCAAATTGATTGACGTTAGAGTAACTTCTTCAAGTTTTCGTGTAGCTGTGTGACCCACTGCGTCTTCTTTAGTCAATGGTTCGAACTGCACATGATGCATAATCTCGTCTATCTCGGGCTCCATTTTAAAAAGCAAGCGAATGTTTTAATAAACTCAGGATGCTTGTCAAATATAAACTTATCAGAAATATTTTAATTTGATAACGGCAAGAGAGTATAAAAAGTACGAAACAACGGAAAGTGGAAAACGGAACCTTATTCATTTTCCAACATGAAGGGAAGGGATCGCCGATTAGACATCTGCAACAGGAAAACTTGTGTATACTGTTAAAGTGTATCAACCTCTAAGAGTTTTGGAATAGTGTATAAAATGTCTTCAGATTGGAACTCCCAGAACCCCAAATATTGCCCAGATAACCATGGCAAACATACAAATTTTAGAGGTATATCGACTTATCACGGGAGGCCGCGAGCCCTCCTACGCCCCTCCCCTGAAGGAGCCCATGTACTTTTTCAAAAGAACAAAAACTGAGCCCTCTTGGTAAGGTGAATACAAAAGGTTACAGAATCGCAGTTTGAAAAATTATAGCAGAAGGAATTCTTTGAAATCAGTATCTAAAGCTTAGATGCTTTGTTGAAACAGGGTACGCCCTTAATTTACAAAGGTTCTGTTTAATTATGAAATCAGGGTAGCCCCGTAACTCAGTATTAAACTTTTTAATATTCTTCCTAAATTGATACAGTAAAAACCGAAATTCGGTGACGAAGGGTGAAACTTTAAATGGGAAATTAAAAACGCCCAATAAAAAACTTTTTCAAAAAGGCTCTATCGTTTAGAGATAAATGTTTACGTAAGCGGATATTGGCGAAGTGTCTAACAAAAGGTGCCCTCCCCCTAAACAAACGCAAAGTAAGGCGACGGGAAGAGCATGGACGCAGTGAGGTTCAGATTTAGTTGACAGCGTAATGTGTACAAGATAGAAGCGCGAGAAGCGTGCAATATTTTTTAGAAAGAGTGCGCGGATGGAATCCGTGATCTCGTGCTCGGGTTGCTAGGCAACGAGGTGCTTCTTTTTTAACGCACGTATTGTACGCTTCTCGCGCTTCTCTCTCGTACACATTACGTCAGTGGTATTTGGTTTTCAGTGAACAGTAGTCTTTATATAAATTCCAATCATGCTCAAAAGTTAAATGATGGGTGAATGTGCTCGTATATCCAACAACCTTTAGTCAGTGATCATGGATTCCATAGTCTTTGCTTTTATTTTATTAATCGTGAGTATAGATGGTCAAGATTACATCAAAATTTATTTTGGACTTAAAAAATCTGAAAATAATGTACCTGAGCAATTCCCAGCGAGATGCATTATACTGGTATACTTGTACCTATACGAGTGAGATACATAGGATTTAATCTTTGTCATGAAAAGCAGAAAAAACACAACTTTTATGGATTTTTTTTTAGATTTTGTTTAGTGGTAGGTCATAGAAAATATTGCAGATAATAAGTTATTAGCTTGTGAATACAAAAATGATTTACGTTTTTACGTACTACGTACATAGACTTTTATTTGTGGAGTATATGATACTTTCATGAATGTTTTAGGTAATTTGGATAATGTGTCACAAATTATCGACATAGGTAAGTCGAACATCTTAAAGGTATGGGTTGCCACAAAAATTAGTGAATGATACTTGAGGAATGTTTTGGCTTTTCAAACTAGGATCATTCTAAAGATACACTTTGAAATAATGATTTTGATTATGTTTTTCTCGAAGCGTCGTGTTTCTGTGACACACTAGAGGAATTATTTTATACAGATGTAATTACAATGAAATGTTGAAAAAATTCCGGTCCCGTTACCGGAATAAAAAAATATTTGAATCCACTGGAACTCCAGCAACTTTTCTGGCTACTTTCAAAAATGATCAGAAACTGTGTAATTTAATTTTTAGTTAGCATTTCTATTCTTTGGAATTTACTTTTCTCATTTTAATAACTAATTCAACCGTTTAAACTTATCAATTCTTTTCCTAAGGAAATATTTTAATTTGTAAGGAATATGGTGCGCTCATGCTGCTCCCCGCCTATATAGAAAAGGTTAAAAAAGTCTTTGAAACTTCACGAGAAGTATTAGTTTTATTATAAGAGCCCTGCTGCTGAGTAATACTGTCATAAGATTTACGACGGCTGAAGCTGAATTGAAAATTTTCGTTGTTACCCGTAAATTGGTTTCTTTATGTGGACGTGAAAATATCATTTTCGGGTGTTCTGACAGTGCTTCTATTGGTAATATGATGTAAGTTTTTCCTTCTTGTCTTGCTGAGATGAATGGCATATCGAACAAGCAAGCAAGTGGATACTCGAATTCGGTTGATTGTTGGATTTTAAGAAACTATTTTGACCGAATTCCGATCAGGGTCCACCAGAACAGACATCAAATAGACAAAACAAAACTAACTTCAGAAAAATGAATCGTGTCTACTTTCTTGATACACTTTAAGCTCCTAGTTTTTGTATAAAGTTACCGATTTTGAATTTAGAAATTCCTACAGAGAAACTGCATGCAAGGGATGGGTACCGGATTCCTTCAATGAATATTGTTTTAATATATTTTGCATGATTTGTGTTTTTATGAGTTATGTGTGTGAAAACTTCGCCCTGGATAAAGACTTTAATAGATACCTAACAAAGTTAAGTGCAACAGTAATTTTGGTCTGCTTGGCTTGTACTTGCGATTGCAAAGTTACTGTAAGCTTGCATCAATATGTTGTTTTAGGTATTTCGAAAACTATTCGTGGACAAAAAAAATCTCAACAGACAAACCGGCAGAAGTGAGTGAAATGAATTTTTAGGATGACGTCAAAAATGGGAAGTAAAATATCCAAAAAATAAAATTGAACAAATGATTTAATAGCATAGTCCAAAGAGTTTCGGAGGTAAAGTTTTTCTGAAATATATTCCGGACCACAAAAATATTCTATTTGGAAAGTAGGTATTTATATGTTAATGTATAAAGATGTTAATATGGTAAATTACCCATGGAATCAATATTTTAGACTGCTTACCAAACATCCTGCAGGTAATACAAGAAAATATTTTGCTTACCCGTTCTTTTTCAGTTCCTTTCTAGACACGCAAACAGCCGTGAATGTGTCTTCCAGCAAACATATTTCTTTCTTCTTACAGTTCAAGGGTCGACAAAGATCGCCTGTTGACAAAAAATATAAACACTTAGAAGTGATGCCCCAGAATAGTATGTCAATCTCTCTTTTGCATACAAAACACAGAAAATCTCACATGTTCCTACAAAAAATGTCCTACGAAGCTCCCCTACGGAGATATAGTCCCCTAACGGAGGCTATTGGAACTGTTTTTTTCAAATGTCAATGTATGTATCTTGAACACAGTGAAATTCAACGAATCCCATTAGATTAAATATGTTTACAGTGCATTGTTTTTCGCTAAAATTGCCTAGTTTCAGTTCATACTCTTGACTCATTTGGCTAGCAATGCCTACCAAAGTGACAGCGTTGTATCAGCACAATAATAATACTTATCCGTGGAAGCATATACATATACTAGGCTTGTGCTGCTCTTTCCAATTATTTAAGAATTTATATTAAACCACAATTTATTAACTGCAAACACTCATACTTAAAAAAATAACACTCAAATAGAAATTTAAGACAGAACTGTAAAAAAATTAACTTATGACAAGTGCACTTTGATCCACACTACAGATTATAAGAATTAGGAGACAAACACATCATTGACTGGTTCCTTTTACCTAGCCTGAATTCGTTGGTGAAATTCAATGAAATTTCGACAGCTTAGTAACTACGAGTAGATGGGACCTCGTATGATGGTGTCAACGGAAAATGTTAAACTCGCTTAGATCGCCAGCGATCAATACAATATTGCTACAAATTCGACAATAAAATTTTTGGAAAGCATAATTTTTGAGCTGAAAAATTGCCTTATTTGAAATCAATAAAATGAACCATTTTTGACAAAAGTAATTTTGTCTCGGCATAGTCCTATCAGTTTTTTTTTGTGAATCTAGTATACTGATTGCACATGTTGGGGGTCAATTAAGTAAGTATATGAATGTTAATCTAGAGTACCTGAGAAACATTAATGTCTTAGGTGGTACATATGTCCAAAGGTCGCCAAATTAATATTCTCACCAAATATAAATATTTTATCTCAAAAAGTACGATTTATTCAATCCCTTCATCTATCAATTGAGCTTCAATAATAGTGGAGACAGCACAATACAAATAGAAAATTTTCTAAAATCAATATATTACAAGACAAAATCTATGGTCACGAGCAAAAGGGAATAAATAGTATGTTCATACATAACAGCGTAAGGTCGATAGGAACAGTATTGAAACAACGCTGTTTTTTTCTCAAAAATTAATCAGACAGGAATAGATTTTTTCATCTACAGCGCACAAGGATTTCCAAAAATATTATTTTTGGTTCATTATTATACAGAATATAAAAAATGTCACCAATATCAAGTTACAGCTTCAACTGGTTTCAAAACAGACAAAATTACGTTGAATTATACATTGACGTTCAAAAACCTAAGAAAAACCTATTTCCAGTAGCGTCTTTTAGAGGCCTGTATCTCCGTAGGAGAGCTGTGTAGAAAATTTTTTATAGGAAATTATGTTTCTTTTGTTCTATAAGTTACTATAATTTAATCATCATTGAGAGTTTATTCCCTCTGGCGAAGTACTAACCACACAATTTCATTCTTTACATACAACTCAAGCTTGTCAGAGTTCAGGAGCTGATAAAGCAGAAGGAAGATCCTTCCACCGCGTACCGTCATTACGTAAGTAGCGTCAGCAGTTTCTGGTCTGATTTGTTTGCACTTTGACTTTTATAAGCGTAACTTCGTTAACGCTTGTGGGTCGTGATTGGCTGCCAGTAATATAGGCGTACCTGATGAGTCCAAGCGTGTTTGATTTTGTTATAAAAGCGGAATGACTGGATCAGGGCAAAAATACAAAAACGAATGTCAAACGGCCCTAGTGTCTGAGAACCAACAAGGAAATCGAATTACTTCATGTCTCCTAAATTGTGTGGAGTTCCAAGCTCCACGGGCACCATTAAGGTTTCTCCATGAGACACAGTTAAATAGAGAAAATTTGTGGCTTGAAAGAGTCACAATGCGCTTTATTTTCACAATATCTTGCCCTGAACATATATTTTTGTGCGACTATGCGAATACCGTGAAAACCAAAAAGTAGTGTGGTATAGTTCACCATTACTTGGAAAACTCATTTGCTTGTTCACTATGAACGACTGGTATTACAGGATCCCGATAACCGAATCGAACTGGTTGTGAGTGAAGGAACAAAAACGACATAGGAGAGACCAGACATAACACAACCGTAAGCAGAAGGTTGTGTAACTGGTTGGCTGGAAGTTATATAAAACATGATAAGTGCTGTTAGTTATAAAGACTTAAAAAATTAAAAATTAGCTAACTTTTAAGAAAAATATCACCCATTGCCGCTCATGAAGAAATTAAGACAATACCAAAATGATAATGTAGGTTAACTACAAATTTCCATTTAATAACAATACATTTTCAACTGTATCGGCTTTAGTCTATTTCTGCTGACAAGACTGCTTGCTCAGCCTTCAAAAAAGCCGCTCGCATTGCACTGATGGCAGATACAAACGTTTTTTAACCATCTCAACTAATATGAGGTGGATTTTGCTCGTTCCTGGCACCACTTCAGGGGTACAAGTGGTTCATGAAAATATTTATCTCGTTCGATAATCCATGTTGCGACTGGATTTTGAACTGCACAAAGACGTTTTATCTCGCGTGTATTATTTATTGAAAACATTCTGAACTGCTGATATCAAAAAATAAAAGTGTACTTGAGGTTGTTAAAAAACCTGTAGATCTCATAGCTACATCTACTAAGTAAGCGTCAGTTTACGCGGAGTACTTAAATTTGAAACATCAATCTCAATTAAAAAAGAAAAAATGAAGTAGAATAAAAAAAATCAACAATACGAGGTGTTCCGAAGCGGTTACCCATCCAAATGCTCACTGCGCACAAAGCTGCTTAATTCCGGCGATCGGATGAAAGGAGAGGCGACAGTCACTGACATTATTCTTGTGTAAAATAGTTCGTTCGCGAACTAGTTCCTGGAACCAGAAAGGCCCGGATAGGCCGGACGCATTAAAAAGTTGGCCGGACAGGACCAAAAAAGCCAAACATGTCACAGTATACAAATAAATACCTAAATGTCAACATCGACCTCCAGCTGCCATGTTCTACTATAGCTTCAATGAAAGATTACGTCATTAAAATGACATTTAAATGCTCATCACATAGAACAAGTACTAGTGGATGTATCAAACACACTCTTCACGATTTCCCCTGTCCTATTTTATACTCGGAACTTCGTAAAATCTTGGCGTTCCCCTCGTACTTTATGTCAAGGTCTCTTGCTAAAGAAGCTGCGAAGTTAAATATTCAGTTACACATTCTTGTCATTTTCTCTGTCAGGATGTTCGTCTTTCCCCTCTAACGTCCTCCCCCACTATATTCAAACAGAGAGTAACTCCGACGGAAATATCTGTGTCATGTATTTGACAATAG